ATACATGATTAGACCTTTATTATCTATAAATCCTTGTGGTTGTTTCATGTATATTGTTTCATCAAGGTCACCATATAGAAAAGCAATTTTAACATCCATTTGTTCCAGTTCAAGATCATATTGTGTAACCAATGCAAACATAACTCTTATTGTAGTGTATTTGACAACTAAGGAGAAAATTTCATTGTAATCTATGCCAGGCTTTTGGGTAAACCCCTTAACCACAAATTTGACTTTGATCTAAGAGGCTAATTAGGAGAATTTCCTTCCTTAATACTATAAACCCACTTACAATCAACTAAAGACTTATTTTCAGGTTTAAGCACCAAGCTCCATGTATTATTTTGTATGAAGGATCTCATTTTCTCTTCCATAGCAAGCTGTGATTCCTTAGAAAATTGGCAACTAATAGCCTCTTCATAGGATTTTGGCTCCTTAAAGGCCAAATCTTGATATGATAGGATAGCAAAAGACAAAGTCATTCATTCTAATAGGATCTCTTATCTCCCTTCTAGTCCTATCTCTAGTTAATTGATAATCACTTAAGGGGTTCACTAATTCACCAGTAGACTCTTGAGCACTATCCTCACCTAATTCTTCACAAATTTCGTTTTCACCTTGATTTTCAATAATGAGGTCAGGTGAGGGCTCAAGCTCTCTACCTGCAGCCTAGTTTTTTCTTATTCTTGGTCCTCAAGCACATCACTAGGGGTTCTTTCATTTGAACAAGGCATTTCAAATTCATTGAAAGTAACATTTCTATTGGTTATCATCTTAAAACCCCTATTTTCTCTCACCAAAGCATGTACCCTTTCACTCATTTTAGGTATCCCATGTAAACACATTTCTGGGACCTTAGCTCAAGTTTTCCTATACTTTGGTGGGAATAGGCTGCACAGCCAAAGGCTCTTAAGTGTGTATAATCAGCTAATTTTCGCATCCACACTTCTTCAGGTGTTCTTCCATCTAGTGAACTAGTTGAGGTCCTATTTATGATATAAACAGCTATCATAACAGCCTTCTCCCCACAATACTTTAGCAAAACCTGAGCTAAACATCATACATCTGACTTTATCCAAAAATTGTCCTATTCATCCTCTCAACTATACCATTCTATTGTGGAATATGTGGTACAATTTTATGTTTTAAAATCCCATCATTTTTTACATAGTTTATCAAAATTAGAATTGCAAAATTCTAGATCATTGTCAATCCTTAGAATTTTAATCTTTTTGTCCTTTTGTTTTTCAATTAAAGTCAAAGGTGTCTAATTTTTGTTTCAAAAGGAATACCCACACTTTTCTTGAAAAATCATCAATTAAGGATAAAAATTATCTATTTCCACCTAGAGAGGTGGTGGATTATGGGCCCCACAAATCAAAATGTAAATACTTCAGGATAGATATAGCTTTATGTTTTCCAGTATTAAAGTAAAACCTATGTTGTTTTCCTAAGGTGCAATATTCACAAAAAGGAATTTTAGAGATCATATCATTACTAAAGCCCCCCTTCTTACTTAAAATGTATAAACCTTTCTCACTCACATGGGCCAATCTATTATGCTATTTAATGGTTGCATATTCTCAGTCATAGAAGATTCTACAGTGTGACTTAAAACATTAGTTTTAGTGACATAGATCCCATTTCTTTTAGTGCCTTAGAAAATAACTAAGAATCCCTTAACTATTTTCAAAAGGCCATCTCCAAAATTTCCTTTGAGGCCTATGTCATCTAAATTTCCCATTGATATTAAATTTCTATTCAGATTGATACAAACCTCACCATTTCCAAGGTAAAGGTGTACCCATTTTCAAATTTTAAAGTCACGCTGCCTATCCCCCAGAATTCTGCAGGCTGCATTATTGCCCATAACTACCTCACCTCCATCATAATCCTTAAAGTCTACTAACCAATGTCTTCTAAAGGTCATATGAATGGTACAACCTGAATCTAAAATCCATTCTATACTCTGACCAGAATTATCTGTAGAAATTGCAACATTCAAATCAGAGGTGGATTCAATCACAACATAGACATCTATTATCCTCTCACCTAGAGGCTCAACAACATTACCTTCATCTATTTAACCTCTCTTTGTTCATTCTTCTTTTTGTAGCAATCTTTAATATAGTGTCTTGTCCTGCCCCACCCATAACATTTTCTATTTCCATTTTTAGACTTTGACCTTTCCTTACCGTTCCCCTTTTTTTAAAATGTATTATTTCCCTGACTATTTTGGTATCCCTGATTATTACCCTATCTAGTGAGTGATCTACCTCTCACAAACAAGTTTTCACTCTCCTTACCATGCCTTTCAGTTTTAGCTTCCAGTTCTTTACTTCTTAAGCATTAATAACTATTTCTGGGGTGAAAGACTCGCTGCTAGACTTAATGATAGTTTAATATCTTTATAAACTTCGAGTATAGAATTAAGAAGAATCACAACCTTATATTCTTCAAATACTTTGTGCCTCGCATTAGTAATATCTTGTACTAACTTATTAAAAGTGTTAACATTACCATCTAAGTCTCGGGACAAATCAATTTTGAAACTAAAGAAGCTTTCTAAAAGAAAAATTTTATTGGGTAATAACTTAACCAAATAAAGTTCCTGTAATTTCTCCTACAAGGCTTTAGCATTATCAAGCTTTCCTACATTTCTTAATACTTGATTAGATAAGTGAAGAATAATGGAAGTATAGGCAAATTTATCAGATTTAACTTTTTGTTCATCAGACATAGTTGCAAGATATTCACCATTTATAGCCTTTGAAACCTTTTGTTGAATAAGACCTCCCCCTCCCCATTTTTTGCTGCCAAATGGGAAAATTCCATTTTTCTATTTAAAACTCCAAGTTCAAACGTGGTAGTTGTCATTTGAAGTTTTTAATCAACACAAGAAAATATTTAAGGGTTAATATTCAAGCAGAAGTGTGAAACAGATATGTTGGACAACACAAAGTATCACACACAATATGAAATATCATAGGAATATAACACTGTGAAATAGCACAATATTAACAATGCAGAGTATAGAGGACCACTTCAACTTTGACGTGTATTAAATTCACCAAGATTCCGTGAGGCTCAAAGACCTCAATTCAAAATCACAAAGATACAAAGAAAGGATTACAAGATTGAAGACAAAGAATTAATAATCAATCACAAAGCCTAGATATATAGAACGTTCAATATAAAAAGAATGCACACAATTTCATAACACACGGTAATGAAATTTATTAAAAGAAAAATAAAAGGGGTTAGGAATTTATAACCAACAATTTTGAGTATCACTTCAAATACCCAGGTATTTACAGAACGATTCACAAAGGAAATCCAAGATCTGACTTATTTTCTACAAGATTCAACAACAATAACCATTATAGAACCAGTATCTCTTAAAGAATCATTAACTGAAAACCAAGATCCGTCACCAATTGAATATAGGGTTTCCACGGCTCATTAGATCTCATAAGATTCGGTTGTGAAAATTGATTTTCCATGACCAAATCTCGAAGATGGGACTCGACCAGTTAGAAGGCTCTGATAACATTGTTACAACTCAAGACCCAAGAATCGACTCAAAAAATTATAGACTTTAGATCTACATTAGCATCAAGAGATCACAAATTTTGGGCTCAGATATCCATTGTCCCCGTCTTCACAACATGAACGATCCACCAACCATAACCCTAAACTACAAAACAAAGGCATTTGTTTCAATGGACCCAAATCTTTTCAAAAAAAATCAACCAAAACTCTCTCAAACTCAAGGTAAAGAATCACACAAACTCCAACCATTCAAATCTAACCACAAGACCAAGAGTTTTTTGTTATACCACAAAGTTCACACAGAAAAAGAAAAGAAGAAGATACAGAGTCGAACCAGAGAGAGAAAGAGAACCCAGAAGCTTCTCAAACAAATCAGACGAATAGATTGAAAGAAAAAAAAAAGCACTCGGATCAAATATATATAAAATCATCACCATCGTAGATTTTAGGTTAGGAGATCAAAGGGTCCAAAACAGCACAAGTGTTTAAGTTATTTTTGGCAGGGTTATAGTCCATTGCACATTGTGTTATTGGGCAATGGCAATAGTATCAATTGGGCTTTCTAAAGAATTTCATCAATGCCCATATTGGACTAGACCACTTATTGACATCACAGCCCAATAGCTCATCCACACAAATTTTAATCAATCTATTTGTCCATGACAACTGAACTCTATGAAGAATCAATGATTGCATCCCAATAAGAAGTATATGATTATCATATTCCAATAAAGACCTTGTTGGATAATCTGTGTGAACCTATAACGAGCCGTTTAACAACTTTTTGTAGGCAAGTGATCCTCAGTTATGAAAGCATAAGTAGCCATTAAAGGATAGGATACATCACCAATAGAAATTCGAATAGAGTGAAAAGATACCAAACTACTAACAAGTTCAACAAAGAACTCCTCTAGTATTTGTCTCAAAATCTAAGAATCAAAGGAATATCTTGTGCTTGTAGTTAGTTATATATTCAGATGTACAAAAGTTGTTTTAGTAATGAGCTTGCAAATTCCTATTTTATTTTCATGTTTGTCTTCCTACTCAACAAGGATCGAGTATATCTACCTAACTCTGTTTTTTATACTTGATCTTGGTCGAGAATGAGTGAGTGCTTATCTTCTTTAGAGATAGATTAGATAACTTTGAACATTTAAAGCAGAGTAATCGTATTCATTGGGTGCACGTTAATCAAGAAGTCCACTACATTCTAGGTTGTTCATTATATGAGTAGCATTATTTTCATGTGCATTATTTGGAAATAAATTTAACTATGGATTTTCACAATTAGCCAAAGCTCAAAGGAGTCGAAGTTTATAATTCCTTAATTTAGCAATCAATATATTTCGAAGGGGCAACATGCAATTCACCCAAAAGTAACTTACTACAATTTAAAAGTTTGAGGACCAAACTGTCAACTCTTACATTTTTTCGCCTCTCTTCTTCTTCGGCACGAAAACTTTGTTTTTATTCTCTGCTCCTCTTCTTTTCCCCTACCCGTTCTAAGGTTTTCTTCTGCTAAATTACTTCAATTTTAGTTCAATTGATCGATCCACACAGAACCACATCATGGACGTGAGCGCGGGTGATCTCAATGCTCCACACTCGATGGGAACCACAATCATCGGTGTCACCTACGATGGCGGGGTTGTTCTCGGCGCGGACTCTCGAACCAGCACTGGTAACTCCATCGTACAACAATTCCTTTTTTAATACTAAATAAGATTTTTTTTATTAAGTTTTACATTTTTATGTTAATTGTAAAATTTTGGATTTATATTTTGCAGGAATGTATGTGGCGAACAGGGCGTCGGATAAAATCACCAAGTTGACTGATAATGTCTACATGTGTCGTTCTGGCTCGGTACGTATTTACGTAACTGGTCCTTCTTGTTTGTCATATTTATGGGGAAAGGAAATGCCATTGTTAAGTTTAACTGTGAAAAGCGATTAGGGAAATCTGAAAATATCAAGGTACAGTGATTTGGGTTTAGATCTTAGAAGTTTAAGCACTCCTAAACATGCTCAAATTGAGAGGAGTGCTATTATTCGTGCATTGCCTGAATGGTGCATAAAGCAATCTATTAAACTATTTAACCTGCCTAGAAGAAACCTCTGGATTAGATATTAGTGTTTGTTATAAAGAATACTCTATACAGGAGCTTTAGTAAAGATTTTTATATCAATGGTGAAATTACAGTCACCTGAGAGTTTGGATTGGAGTTTAAATAGGCAGCTTGTTTCTAAATTGGCCCGGCCTGTCCTGTCCTGTCCTTTATTAAACTATACCACAATTCTCTGCGCACACCTACTTTCCTTGATTTTATCCTTCATCTGGACTTCTGGCATCAAATAATTATAGTGCTCTTCTTTTAGCTATTGAGCATGGTTAACGGCATCTAGGAAAATAGTTGCTAACTATGTGGCTTCATGGCAGACAGCTAAAATTTCTTGAAGCTTTTAGATTTTACTTGCATAATGACAAACCATGGTTCTTTAAGAAGAGTAGGTTTTAGATTTATTTCTCTGAATCTCTCAAAGTCTTGGTTGAAAACATAGACTTTCTTTACCTTGCAAATTTGATCAGAGATAATTCTAGTAGGCATGTAACCAATAGTTAAAGAGTGAACTCTTAAATGGTGGACCAAGCAGGAACCAATTAGTTGAACAATCTTTAATGTTTTTCCGAAATATGTGTATGTGCCTCACATTTTACAATGTTACTTTGTCAGGCTGCAGATTCACAGATTGTTTCTGATTATGTCCGCTACTTTCTCCATCAACACACGTAAGAAAATATTCCTGCATTTCTATCACTTACTTTACATTCCACGTGCATCCTTTCATTCATGAGATGATACCTAAAAATCACTATAAAATAAAGCATGGGACACTCGCCTTTAGGTTCAGAAAATACATCATAGTTTCTCCTTTCTTATGTTGTATCTTCTTTATAACGACCTTCATGGTGTCAACTTCTCATCGCTTTACAAAGTCAAGTTGAATTATTTTTTCTGCCCTAACTTTCATCCCTTAAAAGTAATATTCTTTTACATGATAGTTTACTTTCCAAGAGAAATGGTTACAATTATTATTTTTTCACTAACTAACTGATATTGGTTTTTTGGGTGGAACTGAAATTATATCAAACACTTTAAAACTCTAGTATTCTGCTAGTGTACTCTTATTATGTTGAAGTCAAATGGTTTACTCAGCAGAGATATTTCTCTAGTCTTATGCTTCAGATACATTTACATAAGAAAAATATGGATTTGTGATGGCATGCTTGTTGATGCAGGATACAACTTGGGCAGCCGTCAACTGTCAAGGTTGCTGCAAACCTTGTCAGATTATTATCTTACAACAACAAGGTTTGTATAAAATTTTCATTAAAAAGTCTCAGATCTACATAATCTCTGCAGATTCAAAATTCCTTTCGACATGTGAAAAATGTCATCCTTATTAGTCAGTTTCATATCAATTTTGTTAGTTTAACACATGGAAATTGATTCTGGAAATCTAAATTTTGAGGGAAGTATAACCATGAATTTGAAAAGATGGAAATCGGTCACAAATATCTGCTGTAAAATTTAAATTTCATTGTGATAAAATTGGCTATCTTTTTTATCTTTAGAATTGTAACATAATTGAAATATACAGGCACTAGCAGTTCCTTCCACTCCCTATATAAATATCTAATGTATTTGAAATAGTTTTCTTCAGTTCTTTTATTTTCTTTGTTTTTGGCTGAAGTTATCTTTTACTACTTGAAGAATCTATCATGCAAGTTATCTTGGCACCTAAAAAGATACAAAATATAGGAAGTTATTACAGACTTAATACGTAAGTTTTCAGTTTTCTGTAACTAATTCTTCCTTAATTGCACCTTTACTATCTTGGGAGTTGGGAATTATTTGATGGGAAATAAACATACAAATGGTTTGTCAGTTATTTGTTATGGTAAGCTTGTTATGTCTTTTACTCTTATGCCTTTTACTAGGTCTGAGGAATGTGTTGGAGGTAGCAGTTGAATTTTTTCTTTTCTTTTCTTTTTTTTGCCCTTTTGATATATCTGCAAGTATTCTGACTTTGCAGAATATGCTGCAAACTGGTCTCATTATTGGTGGATGGGACAAATATGAAGGTGGTAAAATATATGGAATTCCTCTGGGAGGGACAATCTTGGAGCAACCTTTTGCTATTGGAGGTTTGACCTTCCTATCCTTTTCTCATGATTTACACTGTCACTACATGATTTTTTGACTTTGTCTAGTGTTTTTAATTTTTTAATTTTTTTTTTTTTGGGTACTGTTCTTTCTCAACTTTTATCGAGCTTGTTGATTTAGCTTTACTGGCACATCTTGTTGTTTATAAAGTTCTGACCCCAGCAAATTTATCTGTTAATTATTTGCTCTGGATTTTGACAGTGTGTTAGATGGTGGTAGTAAATTGGTTACAGGGCATAATTGCTACTAATGCATCCTTAACTGACTTTGGTAGTTGTAAATTACAAGGAGGAGCTTTCAATTGGGTGGGTTTAGTTCTAGACCACAACCGGCTCTATTTAAACCAATGTAGATGTTGTTTGTAGTGATTAAATATATTCAACACACGATCCATATTATTACTTATTTATGTTCCTATTAAATATAACTATATTCAATCACTAAATAGATATTATACGTATACATAAAGTGGAACTTTACAAACTAATTAGACTGTCTTTCAGACTTGGATGGTTCCAAATTTGAGATTGTCATCCACTTTCTTAACTTCTATGTAGAAACTTTTTAAGGAATCCTCTTATTGATATTTTGCTGTTGATTTTGCTCTAAATTAATAAAGTACATTCTGGTGCACATTTTCCATTTAGCACCTTAGTTTTCCTTCCATTATCAAAAGGCTCTCCATTTTGCTTGTCCAATGACATTGTTAGATGTCATCTCAATCAATATATATAGGATTATTCAAGTTACAAATTAATTGGCAAGTGTTTCAGCTCATGGTTGACGGTTTCTTGATTCCTGACAATTGTTCTGTTTCACATTAGGATCTGGCTCCAGTTATTTGTACGGATTCTTTGACCAAGCATGGAAGGAAGGGATGACCCAAGAGGAAGCTGAGGTTTATATAGCGCGATTTAAATATTTCTGAGCTGCTACTAGTTTTCCTACTTATGAGGGTTTAGGAACATATATTCTTGAGCACGTATCGCAGCCTAATGTTTTGAAACTACTCTGTTCAACTTCAAACAAGTATATAATTTACGATTCATCTATGGAAACATGGTTTGATCTATCTATTCTAGGTGGGAGGCGTTGTCGCTTCCAGAGAATCTTCGCCTGGAATGGGTCCTTCGAAGCTCACATAAATTGATTTACTTCCCACTTTTGTGGTTTTCATCCTGAACAGAATCTATCCTGTTTTGATAGAAACGTGAAAAAATTCACAGATTATTTTTCTTGTTGCTCTGGATATTTCAGTAATGGTGGGCATGTTTACCATGAGTATGGCTGACTGCTAATTTTTTGTCTCCATCTGTCCCTGCAGCAATTAGTGGTGAAGGCAGTCTCTCTTGCTATTGCTCGGGATGGTGCTAGTGGTGGTGTTGTTCGGACTGTGACTGTGAGTTAACTTAATCGTTTATGTATTATATGTGCTCCTACCTGGTGAAATCTCCTCCTCATGTTGATGTTGGACATGGAATTCAGATCTTTCCTTTTATTATTGTTGGATTTCTTGTTTTCAGTAGCCCCTGCACATGGTTTGATTGACATTGATTAAATCGTTGCTTAACTGTGAAGTAGTTTGTGTTGGCTGATGAATATTTAAGAGCGTGTTTGGGTAAACTTTAAAAGTTTACTTATAGGTAAATAAGTTAGTTTAAGCTAAGCTAATCCTGATTACCTTTTGAAACTGCAGATTAACTCAGAAGGGGTTACAAGGAAGTTTTACCCAGGTGACAAGCTGTCTCTGTGGCATGAGGAGCTGGAGCCTCAGAACTCACTGTTGGATATTTTGTCGACAGGCAGTCCTGAACCAATGGTCAGTTAGATCCAAATTGTTGAGCATCAACTGGTAGTTGAGCACACTCGATTACCTATCAAAAAAAGTTGAGCACACTGGATTACATGTGATGAACTGTACTATTTTTCTTGGAAATCTTTTGCTCGTTCTTACATTGTTGGAGGTTAATTAAATTCTGTTTCAGCAGTTGAATGGCTCCCATATCTTTGATTTACTCCTTGAAACCGACTTTTTGGCTTATTTTCAAAATATCCATCTTCTGTGGAGACATTAAAATCGTGTATACTGATAACAGGGTATTATGGGCCTTCCATGGGAGCATGGATTCTTTGTTTGAAATGTATTTCTCCCTCTGTTCTCTTCTTAATTATAAACAATATAAGGGAAGGGGAATGTTTGTCATTCTCTCTGCTTCTCCAAGTTTCTTTCCGACCAAATGTCAAAGCGGGTTTTACAGAATGTTTTATTAACTTTTATATATTTGTTACACAATATTAGATATAAAAAAATTTTAAACAAGGATTAAAAATTCCATAAAATTCTCAGTAATCCTTGCAACAAAGTAGGGAAACAAATAAAATGCTCTCACAAGGTTACTTGTATGATATTTGGAGCTACTGGCCCGGAAAAAAAGGGGTCACTTCTCTGAAAATCATTGGGGAAGATTTCATTGACTGAAAAATGTAGACATGTCTACACAGTCGGAAACTACCTCATACATATTTTAGTTCTTTCTTGCTACAAAGAACTTCAGCCACGATAATTTCTTTACATGAGAGGAAATATTAAGAACAAGCAAATTTCCTGCCAAAAGCTTTAATCTATACCAATTTAAGTTGTCCCTTTGTACCAGTACCTATTACAAGATCTTAGGCCTCGATCAATGGCTGTTGCATTAATCTGCGGCTATGAGTTCAAAGTAACGAACTGTTAGAAAGGATAAACTTTCTACACAGTATCGTTGTTAAGTTCCAAAGGAAGAATTTTTAGCTAATTTACACCATTGTCTGAGCTGCTACAATCTTGATTTGGAAGGATGCTGTTTCCAAAATCTCCTTCCAAACTCATTTGTTGGACTTCTTGAGGTGAAAGGATCTTGATACAGTGTACGCAGCTCACGAATTCCCTGAATCCAAAAATTTACCATAAATGTTCAGGGTAACATTGGCATTTTATCCAAGGAAGCAACCATTTGTATATGAAACAACAAAATTGAAGCAAAAAAGGAACACAGAAATTCGGTCGATATTTATGTTGTTCATACAAATATAAGGAGAATGCTGAAATTGATAAATAAAGCTGAAATGAAAATGATGAGTTTGAAGACTTACTCCCAAGGATCATCCCCAACCAGCAGGACATCATTCTCATGATCCACATACACAAGTTTCCAACCGATTCTCTGTCGGTCCTCCAGTTGTCCCTCTATGCCAAATCTACGGGCCAGATCTTGTTTAAGCTCTTCATAACCCGAGTAACGTGCAATATCAATTGATCTGCCAACAGCTCCACGCTTGTACACCTTCATAGTAACATGCTTGCCAAGTTAGGCCAGAAAACTTGAATGCAAACAGAATAAGAGTTAAATATAATCATGTCTTTGCGACATTGAGCATATAAGAATCAACCTTTGTATACGTCCGCATTCGAGGGATCTGTGGTGGTGGAGCCCACGCTCCTCCGTTCATGAAGCTGCTATCATTTATTGTGGAATCAATTGAATTGAATGTCATCTCTGGAACTCCAAACGACTGGGAAACCATTGATGATGAAAGTTCTGGATGAGTTTCCTTGGGATTTTCATAGTTGGAAAGCATTTCTCCTCCAGATGAGAGATTATTAGAGAAATCAGCTGATCCCACCATAGATTTTGTGACCAATGGGTCAGGTATTATGGGAATGCCTAACTGGTTGCCACTGTTAGCCCCAAGAACATTGGTATTCCTTTGATCACCATCAAGTTCCCTGTCCTGACTTGTGGCTCTAAACAAGATTGACTGAGAATTGAAAGATGCGTGGTTGCTTTGCTGCGTCTGGACATCATTTTGAGAAAGAACTGATGTTGCTGAACATGAGCTATCCAAATAATCTATATGGGTTCCAGTAGTATTGAGGTATGTTTGTGTTGCAAAAAGTCCTTGGTTCTGACTTTTGGATATGTTCACTGAAGGCTTAATGTCAGGTTTTTGCTGCAACTCCTTAACTAGGAGACCATTAGAAGACATGTTCATTATGCCTGTTGAACTCAACAGTGTGGCAGAAGACTGAGCCATCTCATCCCCTGCTATTGTACTTCGGTGGTTTCTGCCATTCAGCATAGACTGAACTGCACTTGGACAGTTGTTTGTGGATGGTGAAGTCGAACAAGATGGAACCTCATCAGTGATCCCAGATTGGACTCCACCTGCAGCTCCCATCAACAAACTGATGTCACCTGCAGAAAGCTGGTTGTTCATCGTGTTTGTGATGTTCCCCACAAATCCAGGCAATTCTGATTGTGTTTCAGATTGTTGATGTTGCGGAAGTTTTGGTTGGGCAAACAAGAGATTGGTTTGGCCATTATTTCTTGTCATTTGCTGCTGGATAACATGCGACTGCGGGAGCATAGTCGATTTTGATTGAGATGCCTCCGGCAGTTGGCCTGTCACAGACCAAGAGAATTTCTGGGAAATGTCTAAAAGCGGCTTTTGCTGATCCTGGTGTTGTGTCAGTGGGGAAGGTGTTTGTATTGCAGATTGCTGTGCTAGAAGTGACTGTTGTTGCTGGTGGAGTTTCTGTAAAAGTTGAAGCTGAATTTGGTTCTCAGGCACATGCAACTGTTGGCTTACATGATCCGGGGATTGAAACGACATTATGTCCTGCTGCTGAACATGACTAGGATTCTGCTGCTGTTGAGGCAAATTTTGCGAAAGACTTCTCTGAAGCTGGTTGTTCATAATGGACTGCTGCTGCTGCTGAACTTGACTAGGATTCTGCTGCTGTTGAGGCAAATTTTGCGAAAGACTTCTCTGAAGCTGGTTGTTCATAATGGACTGCTGCTGCTGCAGAACATTCTGAGCCCGGATCGGATTCTGGGACTGCAGAAGTTGAGTCTGAACTTGGCTCGTTGGTAAAGTTTGATTCATTAAATTTTGTCTTGGTGGTTGCATAGTGTCAGTAAACTGCTGCTGCGTCTGTATAATCGAGGCCAGAGGGTTCAATGTGGAGGCCTGGAACTTTTGGAACTGATCTAGTTGTTGTACAGGTTGGGTTGGCCTCGGAGTATTGAACTGTAAGTTGTTATGTTGGGGTGCAGGGAAACCTAACTGACGTGACAGATCTGCACCTGAAAAGTTTTGTAGAATGGAACTAGACAAAGGATTTAAACAGTTTGGCTGCATTGAGTTAGCCAATGAGGGGTTTTGCTGCATGTTCATCCACTGAACTAAGCTCAAGCCCTGCAGAGCTTGAGGATCCTTCATGCCAAAGTCGTCTCCAAGCCAGGGCATCATCCGCCTGAATAGATTATCGGGATCAGACAAGTCGTCATCTGCAAGGAGAAACATAATAAATATTACTCCTTTCCGAATGGATATATAAATCGGCTTATTAAACCCTATTTTCGTTTTACCTGGCATCCCTGGTTGCCTTGGGCGCTTTGAACGGATGAAAGGTGTGGTGGGGCAGATGAAAAATGGAGCAGTTACAGGCTCGATCTCCCAAATAGAGACACGGTTGCGTCTCTCTGGGGCAGTTGATTCATCCCAGCCGACCTGGATACAGAATGAGAGTGTTAGTTCGCCAACTTGAAATGTGGAAGTAAAATATTTACTGAAGGGCGGTGTATATCACTAATATTACCTGCAAATTACGCCATTGGGAGTTCTTCCATCTGACTGGATCCAAATCACTGATACCAGTTATTGTGCCCATGTATCTGCAGAAAGCATGCAGCTGAGATGAGGGGAAGGTAGGTATAACAGAAACACTAAAATTTTTAACTTTCGTTATTTTTAAACAAATATAAGTAGAATATTGGCATATCAATGTTGTTTACGCTACCTTCTTGTTCCCGATTCTTCAGTTTCGAACATCATGCGGAAGCGCATTCCTAGAGATATTTGGTTACTGCAAACTGCTTTATAGTACTTGGCTAAAGGGATAACGAATTCTGATGGACTAGCCCTGCTCAGATTTGGAGGAAAAAAACATCTCAGTAACCTTACATAGAAGCAATATCATCTACACCAAAATGTCCATGACATGAACAGATTATTCCACAAGTATAGCAAGAATTAAGAAAAGTTGATGACCTTGGATTGTAAAACACGGTGAAAGGACTATTATTTGCAGCAGCATGGGCTGCTGCTGCTAGAATCCCAATATGCATGCTATCACTTGACAAAACTGATGATGATAAGTTGGCTGGCTGTCTGTTTGCCCGTCTGATGCCCAAAAGAAGCTGCTGCTTGTCATCCCTGTTCTTGAGGGCGAGATTACTGATTATCTCATTCTTTGGACAACTCTAAAACTAATTTGAAGTACAGGAAGAAGGAAAGAAATCTTTCAAAGGCTTACATTCATTACCTAATGAATAAAACTGAGTCGCCTGCGAAAAGCCTCTTTCCACTGACAAAAAGACTCCATCCAGTCGTAAGCAAGTGACGTTTTGGTTGTCCTGAGATATTAGAAATTGCAACCATTTAAAGAATATGTAAACTCTACCAGTAGCAGGAAAAAGAATCAATCCAAGAAATAGCAGCAGAGTGAACGTACCTCTATAAATATGGCGAAATGTCCATACATTGTCGTGCAAGTCCCTAGCCATGAGCTCTTGAGCAGGTGGTTGCATTGTGAAATCCTAAATAAATGAGCGTTCTTTTACATAAGCTTTAAATGAAAAGACAGTAGTAGAGACAAAGACCGTGAAAGAAGGATTCCTCTTACTAACCAGAGAAGGAAATGTCTTTTCTGCTGCACGGCGAGGTACAGAAAAACCACCATGAGTGCTAGTATCACTTGCAGTCAAGGTTTTACAGAAAAACTCCATTGGAGGTTTGTTTGTTTTCATCGAAAGATCTGATCGCAATAAAGCCTCTTTGTCAAACTGCACAGCAGACGAATACAAAGTCAGTTTTCTAAGTTGGACTGTGTGGAGGAGCCTAATTGTATCGCTTATTCCCTCCACCAATTCATTGACATAGTTTAACTATGGGGTATGTTGGGCAGTCATATCTTTGTATTAGGTCGCCAGAGACTGTACTCTTAAACTCAATTTTTGAAGTTGCAAATAAGAGAATGAAGTTTCACTGCACGAGGAATTCTTCAGTTTAAAAGGTACCTACCGTAGGAACTGGTTGGAGTGTCATCTGCGCATAAACTTCATCTGTTTCCAGGTCAGCCTAAAAATGCAAAGAATTAAGTACCTTTATTATCAAGTTCTTGAAGAGAAATAGAAGCCATAAGGTGAGGCAGCATACAAGTAAAGTGACATTGTGAAGGCGGCATAGTAATTTTGACGGAAGATTTGGATAGTTTGGAATTTGTGCATCCACGTCCTTTTTCATCGATGCAGCAACCTGAAAATGAAAATTTACAAATAGTAACATAAGATCTTTAGATAAAAAGTGAAAATTTCTTCAGCAGTTTCACTTATGAATCTTATGATCGCTATCAGTTGGTACAATAATGTGAAACATTGAACTTTCAATTCCAGCATACTGTCTCTCAGCAAATGAAATTCTTAGAAACATAATATAAAGCGGCGACATAGTACTCGCAGTGAATTTATCGTCATAGTTTGAATTTGTTAAGATATTTATTCAGAAAACTAAAATCTTGGTCCGTAAATTCTCGAGTTCAAATCTCACCATCAATCTGTCTCAGAAAACAAAATAAATTCATTCTCTCGAATCTTGTCCATTAACCAACCCACACCAGCATCAGTGCGCAGGTTACCATTGTCCAATATACATGCTAGTTAACCTTTGACAAAATCTAGAGGCACTCAATTTTCCAGATCTTATGATCAGATTATTTAATCCAATTAACAGATCATAAAAGCTAGGAGCGAGTACCTAAATAAATACAAAAGCACATATATATATATAGCTCTTGTTTGAGCCCCATTTTTTCAAACAAAATATATTCTTCGACAGTGATTTGACATCATTTTAACCACACATTTTTCAATAAAATAATATTATACGCAAATAAAAAAAAAAATTCTTATTTTTTAACCACACATTTTTCATCAATACACTATTCAAAAATTCATTTTCTCCACCAAAATGGGGCTCAAACAAGGGCATAATGTAACTGACTTGTTATAAATAATAATGTAATTAATCCATGCATGTGACCAAATTATGCTACAGATTCAGCAAACTCAGCAACTGTCTGCCTGTCTGTCTCTCGTTATGGTGTGTTTGTCTGCCTGAAATTCTCTTTGTGACAGTATAAGCCCCCGTTTGAGTCTCATTTTTGGTGAAAAATGAGTTTTGTAATAGTGATTTTTTTGAGAATGTGTATTGATGGAAAATATGAAAAATTTTGGATTTACTTGCAAAATTATTTTATTAAAAGAACGTGAGGTTGAAAATAAGTTTGAGAAAAAATGAATTTTGACAAAATGTGGCTCAATCGGGAGCCAAATCGAGATCACATCACATGATTTTGATCATCACGTGGCACGATTGAAATTATCTACCCTATCCTACCCGGCCTAGGGACTATTTACTTTCATTCATAAACTACGTGACACAGTCCATCACAGGCTGAACCGTGCATCTTATTTCGTGTGTTAGGGTTTGTATGGTAATGCTTTAAAAAGTCAAAAGCCGCTTCCAATTTGAATTTTTTTGTATAATCCAGTGTTTTGTTGGATTAGAAAAGCCTTTAGAGAAATTGATCTAAGGCACGTTTGGCATGACTTTTGAAAAGCGAAAAGGAATTTTTGAAACTTAAAAGGTGCGTTTGAACCAATTTAGCTAATTTTGTTAAAGTGTTTTTGATAATTAGAAGAAATGTGCTTTTAAATATTAATTTTCAAACAAAAATTAAGATAATTTCCTCCCAAAGCTCTTCATCAATAAGCAAAAGTTATGTCAAAAAAGCCACTAAATAGCTTCCTCAAGCTCTTTTAGATTATGTAAAAGCAAAAGCAAAAGTCTTGCCAAACATACCCTGATCACATTTTGAGCCAGACCAAGGTGCAATTTATTATATACCAATCAATTCATGGTGGTAATAAAAAAGACCTGTTCACTGTGGCCTTGAGGGAAGTAAACGACGTGGGTCCCAGCGACCGGCATGTTGACCAGAGGGCCGGCGCATGCTTGCCATAGCTCTGGGTTTATACTCTTCTTCTTCCCTGCGATTTGCCATTGAGTTAGACAAAATCCCAATAAATATATTTTCTTCCATTTATTTATTAATGTTTATATTGATTTCTTCCAGAAGGGAACCAAGAAAACGCAGATATATATAAAGTAAGACCTTCAGCTGCGTCGGAGGTGGCGGCCGCAGGTTGAGCTCCGGCTCCGTTTGACGGTGTCTTCATTATTGATTTGTATTCAGCTAAAATAAAAGAGCAGAGTTTCTCACTGGATATACATCCCGCCGGAGAAATCAAAGCTCCGATTTGACCAAAAGAAAGGACCCTTAAACTAGATCAAAGAGTCAGCTTTTCTTTTAGCTAAGAAATCGAATTCTTCTGTTAATTAAAATGTGGAGGTAAAAGGGAAATGAAAGATTAAAATTTTTAGTAGGAAGAAAGAAAATGTTTGGTCTCCTTCGCCGGAAGGATATTTTACCGGCGAAAATGAAGAGAGATAAAGTAAGTTTTAAAGGAGATTCTTGGAAAAGAAGAAAATGTATGCTGAGTGAATTGCCCCCTCCCCTCTTCCATACACACACAAACTGTCTCTGTCTCTGTCTCTGTCTCTGTCTCTGTCTCTCTCTACATATATCTATATGTATATATTGCTTCCTCTTATTATCATCGTTCTTCACGAAAAAAGCTCCCTTTTGCAGTCTGCAGTTTTGTACAAGTCTCTCTAGTGTTTTTAGGACAAACTTTCTTGCTCTTTTTTTCTCTCTCTGTCTCTCTTTCTACTCAAAGCTTTCACCTTTTTATAATATTATTATAAATATTGTTTTGTTGTGTGTATAATGTAAGTATTTCTTCCTCTGTTTTCTCTCTCTACGTCAACCATTTACTCTCTCTCTCTCTCTTCTCTCTATCTTTAAATATATGTATTCAAATATTATGCCTGAAAAAGATGAGTGGTAGGGTTAGGCCCTAAACTTAAGAGGAGTGAATATTTGTTACAATTTTCATCATTCTCCTTTTTGACCTCATTACCTCATTAATTATATGAAAAGGACTACAGAGTTTTGGTTAATTTCATTTTTGTGGATTAGTTTTGTAGAGGTCCGGTTTGAAAAGAGACAGTTGGAACAGTTGATAAAAATTTATTTTGTGTCATTTTGGGTTTGCAATAATGCAGAAAAAAACTTATAAATTAATTTAGGCCAATTGGGAATAATTTTTCTGTGTGCAAACTCCTCAAAAATAATAGTAGTAATAATTAAGGAAACATTATTGAAAACCATTATTGTGCTTATTAATTGCATAGTTGAAACTACTATAATGTGTCTCCTACAAGTTATAATAAAATCATACTATAAAATTGCAAATTATTTAACTATTCGTGTCAAAATAGAAAACTTCATAGTGAAGTCTTAGAGTGGTTTTCTCTCGATCTTCTCTCAATAGTGCATTTCACCATCAAAACGTCCTCAGAATGAAAGTTCCACAAACATCTTAATCAGGCAGTCGTAGTTTCAGTCCCTGTTAGAAGCGGAAGGAGCTAGAAGGATATTGGAATTAAGTTGAAATATATACCATATTCATATTCACATTCTTACATTGATTTTCATATTAATAGATGGTAGAGATTTATGTCAACTTCCTACTTAATGCAGCAAACATTATTTTCTGTTGTAAAATATTTTGATCATATTTTGAACTAATATATTGAGATTATTACCAATGTCTATAGAATAAAGGTCTAGGACCAAAATAAATAAAAGTGACATAGGAAAAATAAATAATGTCATGAAATGCAAGCAACATAGTTAAGGAATGGTCTAAGATCCTAAAATTGGAACATGTAATATGGCCTAGAATGAGCAAACCATTGATGATTGACTTCATGACGAAAGAGACTATCTTTCTTGGACAGAATCGATAGCTACAATGGGGGATTTGAATTATGTCTCAACCTCTTAATAATCTCACCTTGCATTTTTTTGTAAATAACCTTACTTCAAAATTTCGAGGAATTTAAAACATTAAAATTGTAAAAATTGGTCATTTAAACTAAAAGTCTAAATGAGCCACTGTCGACGAAGAAGTAGTCCGATAAATAACATTAGTTAACGTATAAACAAATCTCGTTCTTTACAGTCAATATTACTCATGTCTGACAATCATGTTATTCGTTACTTAGAGGAGTAGTTCTTTGGGTATTTGATTTATATTAATGTAGGTTTGTATCTTTTTCTTTAAGGAATAATGAGTAATTTCTCCTGAACACAATTTATCATGGATTCTAGAATAAATAATTACACGATATCACGAGTAATTTTAGTGAAATAGATACAAGTATCATCAAAGTGTTACTCAATAATTTATGTTTAAGACTATTTCCACTTCAATAATTTATGTTTATATAGTTAAATTTGACATTTCAAAACTTTTTTGTAGGGATTAAAATCAAATATTTAGTGAATCTTGATAAAAGTGTTGTACTAAATATTAGTGAATGAATATCGGACTAACAAATACTGGATGGACATACATCGAATTTGCAACTTACCAGATTGACACATACCGTATATGCAACTTATTGGATTGACGCATACCTTAAGTACAGTTTATCGTATACGTAATGAACTTTGATACTGGATTTGCACATACGGTAAGTTGCATATACGGTGTGCATCAATTTGGTAAGTTGCATATACAATATGTGTCGATCCAATAAGTTGCAAATCCTATATATGTCCATCCAGTATTTGTTAGTCCGGTATTCATTCACTAATATTTAGTCCAACAAACTTAAAACAGATTCGTGTCCTCACCATAGGTGCTTAAGGTTTAATCCCAAGATATTACGAAGGAACAATAAAATTTGAGCACTTCAAATACTACTTTGCTAAACAGAACTTGTCTCAGAACAATATCACAAAAAAAGTCAATCCGGACTGGCAAGGGACTATATGAACATGTAGAAACTGTATACTGTATGCATAGGGATGGCAATTGAGCTCGCCGACTTGGGCCACCTGTGACTCGGCTCGGGGTTCAGTAGACCCGAGCCAAGACTCGGGCCGAGCCCCATTTTGGAGACAAAATCTTTGCCCGAGCCAACCCGTGAGCTCGCGAGCTTTTTAAAAAAAATTAAAATTTGAGGAAAAGGCAGAAGCTTGGTTAGGAAAACAAAGAAAGAGAGAACGAGCCTGTCCGGCTCGGCCCGAGGCTCGGCCCGGAAAAAGCTCGGGCCGAGCCTATTTTTTTGGGCGAGCTTTTGCTCAGCCTGACTCGAGCCCGCAAAAAAGCTCGTTCATTTTAACTGGAGCGAGTCCGAACCGAAACTTTAGACTCCCGAGCCGACTCGGTGCGGCTCATTTACATTCCTATGTATGCAGACCAAAATTATCCAGAAATTGTATACTATATTGCTTCTTGTTCTTGTGTGGAATGGTAAAAAATAGGTTGCATATATAGGCTTAACCCCATGAATGCATTAACTCGTACATAATGACAATGAATATTAGAGTTTCGACAGTTTTGGAGTTTAAAAAAAAATCAGTTGGAGGAAAATTCGGCAAAACGAACGTAGGCTCTCCTAAGGGCCAATTTTCCAAGTCTGTAACCTATTTCGATTCAATTTGCCCCCTGCGCATGCACGTGGAAAGAGTCTCTATGCTACACATGATCACACCCTTCCAAAGTGAAATTCTATATAAAGTGGTATTTACTTTTATAATTTTCCTACATAAGACAAACCTTAATTGGTTTTCCTTTAACACATAAACTCCGTTCAATTAGTATATTTTGAGCTCTAATTTCTCATTTACCCGAACATCATTTTTGATATGTAAAATATGACTTTGATGTTCTCACGGAGGAGAACACAAATTAATCTTGAACTTCCAAAATAAACAACCGGGTCCCACTCAAAAATTGTGCTAAAGTCAGCCACTCAACTTATTTTTTCAACAAAAGTTGATGAATGTATAGTTGAAAAAGTTGTAGATCCATGAAATATAAGATTGAAATTAATTATTGATTTTGACTCAAATTAAAAATCTTTATTTTAATCCTCACCAAACGAGAGCTATATACAAGAGTACGATGCTATATGCATGTGCATTTTTTAGTAAAATTTAAGGCCTTGACCTACCTCCTAATAAGCAATAGAAGAAAGCTGTTTGCGTCCAAAGACTTAGAGTCTAATAACTATATAGTCATACTCCTTGTAATCATACGAAAAGTGTAGTGGTCCTTTTGTTAAGGTCACTTTCGAACTCACTACTTGGTGGATATCAATTAAATTCCTTAAGGAATTCCAAGAGACAGTTGGAGATATCATTAGCTTCTTCACAATTAAAAGTATCATCAGTGTATATATATTTTTTGTCATAGGATAAAAAGATGATATCTCTGTTCTGATCACACTTTCTATTACAGACACACATTTTATTTTTCTAATATAACTCAAATTAATATCTATTAACTATTGAGCTTTATTTTTATGCACTGTCCCTCTAGGAACTAGATTACAATCAACTTGCTATGTTGACACCATAAAATCACATTCCATAATATCAATTAAAGGATAAATAAGCCCCTCGGAGCATAGTCCAGTGGTGCAAAAGATAGAAGTGAGGTTATCTCACGCCTTGCTGACAATCGCAGTGTGGGGATTCGATTATTGAGACATGGAATTGAACTCCTTGTAAGCACAGTGTACAGACAACTCTTGTTCCCTAGCCTACTGGTACACATCTCGCGATTTACATCTCTCACAAAGCTCTAGGGGCGGGGCGATGGAGACTCTCAAGGTTGGGGTTCAACCTTTTTAATTAAAGGATAAATAAAATATTATCAAATATTAACTAGAAAACATTATTGTCAAAACTATATGTTTGTTGTTTTGATATTTTCAATTCAAAAATTATTATATTACAAATTAATTTTGTCATTATTTTTTTCTTGAGCATAGATAAATGAAATTTTAATTTCTTTATTAATTGTCTAATTTTATCCAATAATATTTTCATCAAACGAATGTCATGTGACGAGAAGCTGCAAGGTAATTTCAGTTTCCATTATTAAAGGGATGCTTTGTAGGGGGCGGCCTAATCACATGCATACAAATCCTTTTTAAAGATACCTAATTAATTCTAATCCCCTGATTAATTAAAATATAGGATCAAATGAGAATCAAGAAAATCTTAATTTCATTGGTTTGACTGCCACGTGGCATGGTGGTTGATGCAATACTTATAAGACATTGACAGCTCTACTTTTATTTTTTAAAAGTATTTTAGAGAAAAAAGCCATGTGTACAGAACTTTTGTAAACATTATTTTTATACAACAACGCCTAATTTAAACTATTTTTTCCCTACTTTCAATGAATATTCGTCAAGTGTTATCTCTGAACCAATTCTGTAAGTGTAGCATGTATTATTTTAGATCGTTTCATTTGTCCCTCTCTCAAGTCATTTTTTGCATTTTTCAAATGGCACCCACCATTTTCATTTATTTACATTTTGCCCCGTGTGCAGGGGAAAACTCTCCCTATAGTCCCTATTCTTATTTTTTCTGAACTTCATTGACGAGAATTGGTGATAGAATTGACGTATGGAACTGTGATTCACTTGTTTTTTCTATAAATTTTTCATCTCCCAATGAATAAATGTCAACTGACACTTCATCGGATGAGCGAGAACCATCCAATGAAATGATGGCTCCCCATTCAAAAATCGCACTACGCGTCCCACCAAAGTTTTTATCATGGTTGAATAGAATGATTCTTTTGTAAAATTATTATTGCCAATTGTAATTTTTCTATTGGTGCGGCTTTTAGGCCATGTTTC